TCTATGACTCCCCACTGAGAAGCTCCAAGGTGCAACTTGCTGTGGTCCTGGTGATAGGTTATGACTACGCCCTCAAAGAACACCCTTGACATCTTAGTGAGCGAGAAAAACTTAGAGTAATCGTCCAACTTGTTTTTGGCGTAAATTGACAAATGACATATACCAGCGAGTCGTACGCGACTAATGGGGACTGGATGGGTCGATTGTCAACTTTCTTTACTTACTCTTACTGCCGCTTAGGACGCCATTACGGTTTTTGTTGTACAATGAATTCATTAACGCTTAGTCCCCTAACTAATTTCTAGCAATGAATTTTATTGCCCCAAGGCGTCATAAGACTCATTGCTAGAAGTTAATGAATGTTCTTTCTCATTTTTTCGACATAGGCTGTGGACTGTTTTGATTATTTTTATTTTTTATATTAGTTCGCCAACATTATTGACTGTTGACAGCAGCCGTTCTCAAAAATTTATATGAAGAAATTCCGCTACGCAAACAATAGGCAAGACCGTAAACAAAGGAAGGGAAAACCTGGGAATATAACAAGTTCTGTTCCGCAGAAGTCTTCAGACGGACTGGTGCTAGTGCTGGCCTTGAGGACGTAACGCACTAGGAAATGCCTATTGAGACGAAACCCCAACCAGAAAGGGAGGTCCTTTCCCGAAAATCCGCCTCCAACTGTCAACCACGTTAGTGATATTGTTATCGCTCTTGTAGGGTTGATAGCGTCGCAATCCGTCAGAGCGCTGGAATGGGGCCATCCCAGGCTACGCTTTCCAGTAGCGACCGATTCGGCAAGAGACAACCAGTGGCAGGAAAGACCATGGGTGGGATGATTACAAGCCTCCTGACACTGCCGCACTGCCCCACCAGGTTGCGACGAAGTGAAGTTTATGAAATGCATCAAAAAAAAAATTGGAAAGCTGTTTACAACTGAGCGCATGCAGTGTTGGCATGATGCACAGAAACTCTCCGATAGTTCTTTATCTCAAGCTCGATTCTCGCAACCGTCAGGGCAAAGAAGGAGTCACTTCCACTGATTTTGACTGTCGCTCCGATTTTTCTCTGTTCCCGCACTGCTCAATGGATCACCGTAATCGAAAGAACGGACAAGACGCTTCAAAAGCTTTGGTGCCCTTTCGAGTCCCTTCTGATACAATTTCGTTCTTACTAGGCACACTTGCCAATGAATTGGAAAATGCACTCAGCCATGTTGTAACTTTTCCACAGCTCGTTAACCGTGCACCAATCGGAACACGCTGTAAAATTTCCAATTTTCAGCACCTGCAGCAAGCTCTACATAACTTCATATTCTACTGAACGAAATCGGCCTAGTTATTGATTTCACCTTTGAATACCGACATTCTTATCTATCATAATTACTATTTCGTCAAAAGTTAATGTTTGGAAGGCTTCCACCTTTTCCTGATGAATGACATTTACATGCACCGTTGGCTTCGTCTTGCCTTAACATTTATTTTCGGGAGCCTTAATTGAACCTGTTCCATTAAAAACGTCCGGGCGGCATCCATTTAGGTGCATACAGTCGTTGCCTGTTAAGATGAGACCGGAACGGTCATCTTTGGTTCTCTTTACTTCAAAGATCTGCTTTTCAATCTATTTTAAAGCTGTCCTAAATGTAGAGTTTCAATTCCGATGCTGAGCGATCAAATTAAGATAGCGTGGAATTTAGAATTTGCTTTTGTTGCTTAGTCGTTCTCTTGTTGTCGATGCAGGCAGAAAATCGAGGGTTGTGGTGAGGCTTGATAGTTTTCCCTTTTAGGGGTGGCAGGGAGCTCTGCGCTCTCTGTGGGATATACTCGAACGGGTAGGGTCCATACGGCTTCAGCAGTTTCTTGCAAACGACGAGGCAGTCCAGTGGCAAGTGCCGCTCACCACTGGGCGACGGTATAATCTCGGATGTGTGCTCCAGTACAGCACTAGAGAAGAATCTTTCGAAGGAATCGTTCTTGATCGCTGAGGAGGGGGTCATTTTTGAGTCTGGTGAAAATTTTCGGTTTTCTCGTCATTCAGTTTGTTGACTTATCCCGATCTCCGGTTTCGTATGCCTTATCATCTGGTGCAGCCGTAAAAGTGTTAGGTTGTGGCAAAAATAATGACCGTTTTCGCACCTGCTATGTTCCACTGATCATAATTCATTGAAAACTTAGGCAAATATAGTAATTTAATATATCGTTCGGAAGCACATTTTTCAAGCTATCGTACAAATTTTTTCTCAGAGGTCATGGTGACTGTTTGGTGGTCTTTTCTCTGCCACCATTTCTTCTACGATTTTGGGTCACCCGCGAAGATGTTGTCAAGACGCGAAATCCGACTCATCATGCTTCACGAGTACAAACTCGGCCGTAATGCTGCGGAAGCAGCTAGGAATATCACCAACGCATGGGGCGAAGGTACTACAAATGAGCGCACCACGCGTAGGTGGTTCGACAAATTCCGAAATGGAGACTTCAACGATCAGGAGGGACGCGGTCGGTCATCAGAACTTAAAGACGACGAACTGAAAGCACAGATAGAAGGCGGCAAGCCAACGAGCATCTAGCAGGGGAAATGTGCTTGAACCGAGGTGCGAGTTGACTTCGCAACTGTAAGCACAGTCATTTGAAAAACATTGGGGCGGGTAAAAAAAGAAAACTTGACAAGTGGATCCGATGAGTTGCTGAGCACCAGAATCTCGTCGTCCCTAACTCTCGGTGTACTCATGTTTTGGCGGCACAAAAACGATGCTTTTCTGGCAACGTCATTGTGACATGTGACGAAAAATGGATCAAATACGACAAATAAGACGACGGTCAGGACAGTGGTTGGATCACGACGAAGCTCCTAAACATTTTCCAAAGCCGGAGTTGCACCAAAAAAAGGTCATGGTGACTGTTTGGTGGTCTACAGCCGGTTTGATCCACCACAGCTTCCTGGCTCCAGGACAAACCATTACAGCGGAGAAGTATAGATACTGGTTGAGGAAAAATCGAAAAATGATCGAATTTATTTTTTGGGGTCGTTTGTTTCGCGATTGAAAAGCAACACTTTGAAGCGAGTTATGATATTTTGAAATATTTGCTTTAAAACGGTCATTATTTTTGCCACGACCTAATACCTCTTAGCCATTAGTTCTGATGATATTTGATTAGTGACGACCTTCCCTACATCGACGGCTGTTTCCGGGGGAAGAACAGTTTCCACAATTTAAGGCAGACTTTTTATCAAAACAGAGAATTGTGGTAGGAAGTAGGAAATGTTATGAAGATGTTAGATAGGATGGGGAAGTAGGGTCGTACCAGAGAAGCAGGTTCAGGAGGGGGAGGGGAAAGGAGTCGAAGTCACACCGCCTTTTCAGACCAACGAAACCCTTCATCCCTGCAGTATCATGGGGATGATGGGGCGTGCCACGGGAATGTAATGACGCAGGACCAATCTGATTTTTTCTTTTTTTCCATTTTAGCAAACGACGATACTGTATCACTTTGTTCGTACCAGCCGTTTTCTACCAGGTTTTGCTGCTCCCCCGGTCGATTTGGTGGAGGACGAGCTAACGGCGCGCCAAACGCAGCCGCACTGACACGCCCAATCATCCACAGCGAACAATGCTTGTGGTCTTAAATGACATGGAAGTTGTAAGGGACATTAAATAGAATGAATGGTTTATCGGCCGATCCACAAGCGTCATAGAGTTCAATAGATAATATTCAAAGCGAACGCGACTTGGAAATACACGTGATATACGTGGCGCATCTCGAAAAGGATCGATTTCCACTTAAGCCTCATTCTTTTTCTTTCACTGGCAACCGTGATTCGATTCGACAGATTTTCGTCTCTAATTCTGATTTAGTAATACTATCTATGAGACTGTATCTGCAGGACTTGTACTTATGGTGCGAAGGGGTTTGAAATTCATTATTTCTTCTGTGTATAGGTTGAGTAGACTCAGTTACTCTCTACCTACTAAGTAGATGTAATAGCTTATACCAGATTATGTTTCAACTCTATGCATGTTTAATCGTGGACAAATTAATATTTCACGTAAATAGGTCAATCCTCACAAATTGACATGCACGCATAATTGTCGGACCTGTTCATACCGTCAGCATGTCGGACAAATACTCTTCCCTTTCACATGAGAATAATTTGCTTTTGTCTGTTTCCTTTTCTTCTCTCGTTTATCTTTGGATAAAAGTCAAGTAGGTTAACAATGAAGCCATCCAGCCAAACCACGTTCTGGCACTGGGGAAAATTATTAAGAGCTTGACCTCGCTTCCTCCAGCGACCGAAAACGACCTCATGGCTGGGGATCCTAGACGCAAAACGTGCCCCACATCCAATGAACTCCGAATTGCCACCTC